GGCAGGCAGGCAGGCAGGCAGGTAAGGCAGAGGTTAGTAGGTAACTTGGTTCAAGATGAGGAAGGTTCGAAGTTAAAGAAGAATGTATTTAGCAGATACCTACCTACTCTAGGTATGGAAGGTACTTCCTGATGATATGATTTGAACAGCTAGGTAGGTAGATTCGAAGCTACAATCAGCAACTACTTATCACCTACCTACCTAGGTACTATACCTACCATTAGTACTTATCATGCCTTCTTCTTCTGATGAACCTCCGTTGCATTATGTGTACCCTGTCACTCGTTTGGATATCTTTATGGAGATGGGCTGTAAGATCCATTTCTGCAACACATATGCTGTCCCATGTGTCAGTTCATACTACGACAGATGAGATGAACTATATTAGTACTTACTACTGAGATCACCCAGATGTTAGTACTTAGATACCTAGGCAGTGAGTAGAAGGATGTCTAAAAACTGCAGATACTTTAGCATCTAGTTTGCCTTGAACCTTTGCTTGCAAATCGAAAAACCAGATGGACTCTTAATGAAAGTGAATCAAGGTTAGCAGGCAGGTAAATAAGTAGGTAGACAAGTCATTTTTGTATGACGAATTACACATGCTGTTACGGTTGGTGTCGTGTGTTCAACATGGATATTATACTGAGAATCCTTCCTTGTTGCAGTTGCGAGTTTCAGCTTAGAATTCTGTCCACCCAAAGCAAGGGATTGTACTAGATTGAGTGTAAGTATTAAGGTATCAATGTCACTGATTCAGATACAGCCGCTTAGCTTGACAACAGCCATAAGGCGGTACTTGTATGTACTCGTCGGATCAATACAAAAGAAAGTGTCTAGAGGTAGGTTAGGTACCTCATGTTGACTTACCCTATAGATGCTAATAGTACAAAGTACTAACTACCTACCTACCTACCTCTAGGTACTGACCTAAAGTTGACGTGGGGTTCGTTTCACGTCCCTCTCACAGCATCAGCAAATACCTTGGTACCTACCTACAATTGCGTCTTCAATCAATCACTCCTGGCGACTCTCAGAGCCAGAACATCAGATAGATACGCACCAACATGACCAGTGTTAGCATAAACCCCTCTTCTAACTTTAAAGTTTCTCTGGTGACTGATGCTGATTTCAAGTCGCCCAGCACGGCATAGCCCGCACTGCGCGGTCCCGAACAGAAGAGCAGCGCAAGCAAGACTTGGTCAAGATCGAAAAGTACCGTACTATCGAGGACGAAATCCGCCAAAAGGTCAGCACTGGACTTCTGCACTACCGTCGTCTTCTTCTCCTCACACGCGCGAGCAGATATCCAACAACGACTACGGCTCTGTAACATTCCAGCTTACTTCGAAACTCCTGCGTCTTAACCCAGAATACTATACAGTATGGAACGCCCGCAGGTGCTGTCTAATCTTTGGCTCATTATCCAAACCGTTGGATGGATCGCTGCTCTCCAAGGCGTCGCAGAGCACTTCAGCGAACGACATTCACACAGCCTGTTCCGTCGCTTCGTCATCCTGCTCCTCGACCGAGATCCCGCCGCACCACAACTCCCGGACAGCTGGGAAGATTGGTACAACACCTGATAGTCATGTCGACGCCGATGTCGACGTCGAAGTGATCCGTTCTGAACTGGCTTTTACTGTCCCCCTTTTGTTGCAGTTTCCAAAATGCTACTGGATATGGAACTATCGACTCTGGACACTTGGCTGTGCAATCCAGAGGCTCAATGTATCCACCGCCCGGCGCATTTGGGAGGAGGAGCTAGGTCTTGTCAGTAAGATGCTCACCAGGGATCGACGCAACTTTCACGCCTGGGGCTACCGTCGTCACGTCGTAGCCCAGCTCGAGAGCCCTTTGTTGAATGGACAGAGCCTAGTGGAGCCAGAATTCCAGTATACTACCGACAAAATTCGCCAGGATCTCTCCAATTTCTCGGCGTGGCACAACCGAAGCCAGCTCATCACCAGACTTCTCGATGAGCGCAATGCGGATGACGAGTCTCGTAAGGCTTTCCTAGACCAAGGCAAGCACCTGCACTGCGTCTTACTTAGCACTGCTGACTTCATATTAGAACTTGAGCTCGTCGACGAAGGTCTGAACGTGGGACCCGAGGATCAGTCCTTGTGGTATTACCATCAGTTTCTGGTATTGAACCTGGCCGATTCTGCTTCCAGCCGCCAGATAGCCCCTAACCTTGCAGTGAATGACCGCAAACTATACATTGAACGTGAAGTAACCAACATCAAAGACCTATTAGAAGACTACCGCGATGTGAAATGCATTTATGAGGCCCTCATCGAGTATGCGATGGCATTGGTCCAACTAATTGGGCAACCTCTTGGAATCGAGAAACAAAGCGAGGTAGCATCTTGGCTAGACAATCTGAAGAAATTAGACCCCATGCGGAATGGGCGATGGCACGACCTGGAAAAGCAGTTGGGTTTATTTCGGCCGTGAGGTTGGTTGAATCGTTTACAAAGCACTGCTCACTCGAAGTTATATATCATCAGGTAACTAAAGTAGCAAGAAATGCCACTCGAAAAGAGTTTGTGCCTATCGCTACTGTCAGATCAGGAGAATAGATGTAATATATGCTACGAGGGAAAAAAAAAATCCTTTATGCCGTTCTACGAGGTATCAATGTGTTCATGAGATGAAAATGCGCAACGTGTTTTACGATCCCTCAACGCCCTCTTCCCCGTCCCCTGCCACGCCCCCTTCCTCTGCCACGCCCACGGCCACCTCCTCGTCCGGTGTTTTGTCTTGCTGGAATATCACCGTCGCTATCTGAGTCCGAGCTTATCACCGAGTCACTTTGTTCTGCCTCCGAGTCTGTATCGCCAATTCTGACCACAGTTGGTTGTGCAGGTCGTTGGAGGAGAGGGGGCGGTGAAGGACTCTGGGAGCTCCCCAGGTGGGTTGAGGATATTGGAGGTGACTGCTCGCCAATGTGCTCACCAACAGGGCTCGTGCTGCGAGAAACCACTGGGCCAACATCAGCTGGCGGCTCATCAGATACCTCTGAGGTAGCCTTGGGGTCAGCTATGGGAGTTGTGGCTTTTGAGTGGGTGGCAGTTGCACTACTAGAAATGCCTCTTGATTTTCGTTTTCCCATTTCAAATTTCTTTCCCTTGAGTGCCATTCGTTCAGCCATAGACATGAGCGGAGCTCCTGCGCCATAGGTCGCTGACGGCGGAGGTGAGCTAGGTAGCCGATCGGATTCCATGGTAGTACCCTCTGATCGTCGAGTACGACGAGCGGACCTGAAGGTACGGCTTTCATCCTCAGCATCTCCTTCAGATGTACCGGCAGGGGTAGATGCAGCTGCGATGGTAGTCACACCGGACTTTCTTGGTCTGCCCCGGCGACGACGTTGGCCAGGCTCTGTTATAGGCGCCAGAGTCCCTTCAACCAATTCAGCAGCAAGATGGGCCTCCAACTCGGCGACCATTCTATCGTGCTCGACATCGCTATTGCCGTCTTGAGTTTGGGAGGTCTCGTCAGCGATCTCGGCTGATCCACCAGCGGCTGCGACTTGAGACAAACGTGATTTTCGAGGCCGGCCTCTGGGCCAGCCTTTCTGTCCGCCCTTAGATTTATGAGAAGAGTCGATAGAGGTGGGCTGCGCAACAGAGGTTGCATTTTTAGGTGGACGACCGCGGCGTCTGGGAATTTTATCCGTGCCAGGGGTTGAATGCATCTCAATAGAGGGCTGTGGGCTAGAAGAAATAGATGACCCTAACAAAGCACGAACTGCATCGGCAGCTAGATCGACGGCCGATTTCTTGCCTGTTTTTGCGCCATTCTCGGACGACGAAGTCTTTGTCTGTTGATTTGGTTCCTCCTCGAACTCGTCCGAGTCCATTTCAGCTTCGACATATGATGTTATTGGTTTAGCATGCCTGAGCTCGGGCTCGTTCGCGTCGAATAACAGCTGAGTCCGTTTTTTAGACTGGCCTGGAGCTAGAGTTGCGCCAGATGCACCCCGAGCAACATCCATTCCGACGTCTTGCGTTGTGCTTTGGTTTCTATCGGTCTGACTAGGTGGATCCATGACAGCTTCAGGGACAGAAGACGACCCATTGAACAGGGCAGGGTCCATGCTATCCAGGAAATCTGTTTCTGGTTCATTTGCGAGACGAGGCTTTTTGTGATGTGACTTGCCAACAACAAAATCAGGATCTTCATTCTCTCGTCTGGCTTTCCTTTTGGCTGCCCGAATGGACTTTTTGACGAACTCAGGAATATCTGGTTCTGACGGTCGCATGGCATCCTCAGGTGGTGCCTGAAAAGGATCAAATAGAATCTTGTCCGGTGCATCATCTGGTTCATAGTAGCCCATGCCGATACGCTGCCGAGCTACCAAAGAAGGATCCGGATACAAGGATGCATCGGCCTCTCCAAGCTGGGACATATCCATAGCCGTCGGCTCTTCGGCTCGTACACCATTCTCATCAGTGTAACGAGGCAATTGCCCCTCAGAACCATCATCAGTCGTAGGCCAATCGCCTTGGCCGCCAAGAACATGACTCTGGTCTCCGTAACCGTTCTTGCCGGATACATGTACACCATTAGCCCCATGGACCCTAGCACCATCTTGTATAGCCTGTTCGGCTTCTTCCTGTTCTGTAATATCCTGTGCTTTAGCACTATCAGCCTGCTCTCGTAGTCTCTTCATTCTTCTGCTGTCTTTACTGCGGCTTTCTTCCCCTGCGGCCTTGAGCCATGAGAGATTGTGTACACGGAAGTCAACCAGAGCCTCGACACTTCTGTCGTCTGCAATCGGCCGCGTATCGTGTCCCAATAAAGTGTTCTTTGGCGTGTACGGATCCGTGTTGCCTACGCGTCGACAGTGACCACAATTGCATATCCCCAAGCACTTGGGGCATTGCCATTGCTCGTCTTCAAGGACCTTTTGTGGCAACATATCGAAAGCTCTATAGAGCACGCCATAACAGTAGGATTCGGTGCAGCCAGGATTCGTACACTGATGAACCCGATAAGCGTAGTCCTTGTGACAGCATACATGGCATCGCCGAAGCTCTCCGCGCTTCTTCTTCCTCTTGTATTTCTTCTTTGGCCTTCCTTCGCCATCGACTTCTGGCTCTGACTCGCTTGGTGTAATCTCACGTTCGGGCTGAGTGATGTCTTTCCAAGGTCTCCTTCTCAGTGCTTCTTGGCAAATTTGGGCCAAAGACTTCTTTGCAGAGCGCTGCCGAGCAATTTCCAGGGGTTGCGGCGAAGACTCGAAATCGACAAAACCATCGTTCTTTATAATCATTGAGCGCCATTCTTCATAATTATTGACCAAGTCAGCCCAACTCCACTGCTCGCACCATTGCAATCCCGAGAGGCAGGCGCAAGACCGTCCCATGGCATAGCATTCCATGCAAACGTCGTAGGTGTCCTCATCGCCGTTGATGAGCATGCGAGTGCAGTGCTTGCATGTCAGGAACCTATTGAAGATATTGGACCTGCAATATGAACAAGTAATGCAAGAGTCAAACTCAATGAATTCTACCTCCTTCTCTTTGAACGCGAACATTTCGTCGAGTAGGAGCTCCGTGAAGAGTGCAAATAGCTTTTTAAAGTCGCCTGCAAGTTGTTTGGCACGAGGCGAGCTCCTGAGAATGTCTTGTCCAATCCCCATAAAGCTCATGGAGGTCATTTCTGCATTCTCTTCAAGATTCTGAAGTTGACGGTAATACTTCCGTAGGGTGAAGAAGATGATCGCCTTGTTCTTGTACTGTTCATCGCGACAAACAAGCCGAGTCTTTGGAAGCGCTTCATGTAAAGCCATCTCAAGAGTTTCGGCAGTTGTGCGGTTCCAGGCCACTTTTATTGTTCGAGTACCCCTATTCCAAACCTGGTGCGCGGCCAATGGGGGGATGAGAATGAAATCACCAACTCTCTGTTCGACAATGTAAACGTCGAAAGGCGCTTTCTTCCACGCGTTGATTTGAGCAAAATGCTTCTCGATCTCAATGTCATGACCTAACATGGAGAGGAAGTATTCGCGGACAACCTCACGATCTTTACTTTCTGTCATGAACCAGATCGAGCTGCCGGGTTTCTCGCCTTTCTCATCTCCAGATGCTTCCACCATGATATTCTGACCAAGCGATGCACACATTTCGCGGTGCGCAGGGGTATATGTACCTTCATGTCCAATGTAGCACATGAGATTCTGGGCGCGCATTTCCTCTGGCAAACTGGACATCAGGTCACCGGCTGGTGCTGCAGCAGATTCATCCCGGAAGGCGTCCTCGTCGTATCGTGAGCCTCCAGCTTCGCTGGCGTTCTCATTCAAATAGAATAAATTCGGATGAATGACCTTTTGCAGTGCGTCGTGCCACTCAGGAGGGCAGTCAATATCCTTGAGATAAAGACGCTGGCGGCGCTCGTCACGAAAGTTGGTAGGAGTCCATTGGTTTGCAAGCTGTCTCATCGAACGCAGGTAATGACCTGTTGTCATGGGTATGTCGGTTCCGGCGCTGATATCTCGTACGTTCTCCTCTGAAGAAAAAAGAATTAGTATTTGCAAGTGTGTCGGGACCAGGTACATCATACGTGTCTTGTCATGTCTCTTTTCCAACCAACCAACATCAAAAAGCCCCCTTGACAGAGCTGCCTCCCATCCGTCAATGACTAGAGGTTTGCCGCCAATAATGACGTGAATCAACACAAGCTTCTCGAATTCCTGTTGACCAAGGCTGCGTATCTGGTTTCTCGAGACGCGCTGAACCCACTTGAAATTTGGTGTTGTGTCCACCAATCCATACAGGTCCAGGTCGGGCGGTATAGGATCGAACTTTGCCTGGGGATGCAATGAGGTCGGCATTGTCTCGAGCTTCCAAAGTGCTTCGCGCGAATATAGCTATGGTGGGGTCCTGCTTGAGACGAGATATCGCAACGGCTGCTGGTCGCAAAGGAATTCGTATTGCGAGTTCTGTTTATAAGCAGAATTAGGCTCGTAAGCCACTCGTCCTAGGCCAGCCCCATTCAATATGGGACAGTCATCGAGGCCACTTGTTGAAACGTTCTCAGGTAAGTGTTTGGAGGGTTTACAAATCTGGAGCGACCTGCAATTAGGTACGTGGTAGCTAGTCGCGTCACACAGCTCAGCAGCGCATCGCATGCGCGACCAATCAAAGCGCAAAAGAAAATAGAAGGACTACAGCACGTGACAGACCTGCCTTTCGTCAACTACGAAATAGATACGTACCTACCTTAGTAGCCATTTTGCTCCACTGTAACCTACAACCCTTTGAGATGCAAGGGTTAATTATTCATTTTATACTCTGTAGTCCAGTTTTTATATTCAAGTTCGCCAGAATTGATGCCTCAGCGAGTTGCCATTGGGGACCTGTCTGTGCAATTTGTATGCTCTCGGTAAGCATTTCATGACAATCTACGGATACGCCAACTACTAAATGGTGTTCTTATTATCCCTGTAGGTCCGTAGACCTTGTTAATCCATGAGGTTAAATGCACTCCCCCGGGCTGCGGCCTGGGCTCAATGTCGAGGCATCTCAGGACAAGCGTTAAGAAGCCAAAGACAATCCCAAGCACGGCCTTCTCTCGTCCATATTTCGAAGTCTTTGAGGCAACCATGGCACAACATTCAGAGAGCGGTTGCATTTCACGAAACCAAACCTCAATCCTCACCAACGGCTATTCAAGACCTGGACTCACCCACAGCTGCAACGACAACGGGACCAGCACCGTACAAACCACCCGAGACAGGACTGTTGTCCAAGCTCCCAGCATCATGGGTTCCCTACGCTGAATTGATACGACTTGACAAGCCTGCTGGAACATACTACCTCTTCTTCCCGTGCCTGTTTTCCACCCTCATGGCTGCCCCAATGGCTATGCCTATGGCATCCCCAGGCTCTGTCATTGGCACTTCACTCCTTTTCTTCTCTGGAGCTCTCATCATGAGAGGGGCTGGCTGTACCATCAACGATCTGTGGGACCGGAACCTCGACCCTCATGTGTCGCGAACTCGGCTCCGACCTATCGCTCGCGGTGCCATTACTCCTTTCAAAGGCCTTGTGTTCACTGGATGTCAACTTCTTACCGGACTGGGAATACTGTTACAGTTTCCCCTACCTTGTCTGTTCTATGGAGTCCCCAGCCTGATATTGGTGGCCAGTTATCCGTTGGCTAAGAGAGTGACGTATTACCCTCAGGCGGTCCTGGGCCTTACCTTTTCCTGGGGAGCAATCATGGGCTTCCCAGCACTTGGCATTGATTTGATATCGCATACGACTGCGCTGACCGCTGCAGCGTGTCTATATACCTCGAACATTGCATGGACAGTGCTATATGACATGATCTATGCTCATATGGATATCAAGGACGATGTCAAGGCAGGAATCAAGAGCATCGCGCTGAAGCATGATGCCGAAACTAAGCAAGTGCTTACAGGACTGGCGGCCGCGCAGATCTCGCTTCTTGCTGTTGCTGGATATGCAGCAGGTGCTGGGCCAGCTTTCTTTATCGGGAGCTGTGGAGGAGCAATGGTCACGCTTGGGCTTATGATTAAACGAGTCGACCTCAAGAATGTAAAGGATTGCTGGTGGTGGTTCGTTAATGGCTGCTGGATAACTGGCGGGGTGGTCAGTCTAGGCCTGGGTGCAGACTACGCCATCAAATATGCCGAAGAGCACGAAGAAGGAAATCGTCCCAGAGCTGAGTGTTAGAGGAGAATAGGATGCAATGTATGAATAACAGTTGTGACACAATGTCACCATGCAGGGGGATATGAAATCCACCTCATAAGTTCCACCTCACGTAGCGTGCACATCATTTGTTGTTCGTCGAAGACTTTGTGATCTATTTTCCTTTTTCAGACCCGTCTCCCATGATCAGATCCCTAACCGTAATGTCGATGCAAGCAATCCGAATAGACTCCACGTGTCGAAATATAACGTTGTTTCCATCCACGCGCTCTTCGCTTAAGAACGGGGCTTCTCCTTCTTCTCCTTCCACAGAGCAAGCAGACCGACACCAGAGACCTTGACGACCTTGAATCGAACACCGGGAATATCACCCTTGGCCTTGCCCTTACGACCGAAACCAGCCAGAAGGACCTCGTCGTTCTCGTCCACGAAGTTCAAGCAACCGTCGTTAGGGACTATAAAAATTGTTAGTTTAACCCGCCCATCATTCCTCGTAGCATCTGGGGTTCGTCGTACCGAAGGCGGTGACCTTCTTGCCGTTCTTGATGAGTTGGACACGGACACACTTTCGAATGGCGGAGTTGGGCTGCTTGGCCTCGACACCGACCTTCTCGAGGACGATGCCCTTGGCGTGGGAAGAACCTCCGAAAGGAGAGGACTTATAGGCGGTACCGAGGGCACGCTTCTTGTAGGCGAGATCGGCCCATTTCTGGTCCTTTCGGTTCGTTCGCAGCTTACGGGCGGCGTTAAGACCACGGGGTTTGCCTCCAGCCATTTTTGCTTGAGATTGTTGTTAGTCGACTGTCGATGCGAAATGTGAGAGAGAGAGAGAAAGAAAAAAAAGAAAAGACTCGTGAGCGAGCGACGCAGCTGGGAGGATGGATTGGATTGCTTGGAGTACCTACCGGATCTGTCTGTGTATCGACGACGGGATGGTGATGGTAATTTGCGGAGGCTGCGAAAAGTTGAGGAATTGACAAGCACAAATTCCAGGTAGGGTTTGGTGACCCTACTGTTCAAAACTCGATCAGGTCACGTGTCAAAGTGCTCGATGCTCCACTGGCCCGCTGTGGATGGTCTTGGCGATGGACTGATGTTTAAAGTTCCATGGGCTGAGTAAAGTACAGTCTCTGGTTATGCTATTAACACTGTCTTGGTGTACCACTGAGCTCAAAGCCGGATGGGTCCGCCAGTCACCGTTTGATACAGTAGACCGACTACTTGCCTGGAATGAAGCAAGAGAGACCATACTGCTCTCGACATTTTTCTATCTTTATTCGAGAAGCTCCTGATTTGATTTCATAATGTCTCATCTAACGCGACCTCTGAGCCGGCAACGGGATCCACCCCCTTCATTATTCCTGCATCCCTCCCCTTCAGCTTCAAGTGCCTCCTTAACAAATGCTCACCCCCCGACTGTGCCTTTTATAGGACAACAATCGAACCTAAGGCCAAACGCTGAGCGTGCGCCGTCTGTCAAGTCTGGACGATCCGGGACTGTTGTGCCCCAGCGTGCTGGGTTATATCCCGCGGAGAGCACCCGAGCAACTGGTGACCGCACCGATCTTTTATGGTCCGAAATGCAAGCAACATTGGAAGAAGTTGAGTTGTCAGCTTCCGGGGGGACTCACGTCTTTGGCCCAGACCATGACAGAAAACTAGCTGATCTGCGAGCCGCTCAGATTGCTCTCGCTCAAGCCTGGGCACGAAGCGAAGCAGACGACGTTATAGAAACAGCACAGCTTGATCATGTGGGATCTGTCACTGGATCCGAAGTTCGAAATCTAAAAGGCGCATTGGGAGACACGTCAAAGTCTGGTCTTGAAGGCACAGAGAAGAGCGCAGTTGGAAGCAGCAGCATTTCGCGGCCTAACAGCAGCGGTACCGGGGTAGAGAGGCTGGGTCACAAGCTTGAAGAGGAGACTGAAGTAGACATTCTGTTAGCAAGGAAACGACGAGAAGCCAATGATCGTTATTTCCAGCGAGTCAATCAAGGAGTAATTGATGTCGTGACGCGACTAGAAGATGTTGCAGTTGCTATGAGGGCCGTTGAACAGGAGAGCAAAGAAGTCTGGAGTGAGAACGACAGTGTTCCTGGAGTCTTGAGAACATGACCGCATTGAACAGATTGTTTTTCGGCATTTAGAGTTAGAAGAAGCTACAGCATTTACGGCGTTTTAACATTGAAGAGAGAAACTAGGTACCAAGCATTTAAATTACATCGACACAATTCTTCAGATTCTGCATGACCAAGACCCTCGAGCTTCTCGGCCTTCATTAATATATTTGCTGAACCTGTCTGGCAGATATGCGGCCTGCATGCCTGCGACTTACACCAGATCGTTGTGGGGACGCAGCATGTTGGGAGGCTTACTGAAAGTTGGGGATCAAGTTCGATAGCGATAAAAAGGCCACATTCTAATTCCCCAATAGGTAGATCAGATAGTCTACTGTACTTATGATAAATGCATCCCAATTGGTCTCCTCCTGCAACGTTGCTCATGATATGGAATATCAATATTTGTCTGTAGAGGGTGACGTGAAGAAGTAGGACCGATAAAGCGTCATGCTTCTTTGAACTTATGATCGCTTCCATTGTTCTGCCATTTACGTAGTTGTAGGAACCCTCATTCTCAGCGACACGATTGGTGAACAGGAGTGGGCTGCCTGCCTAATATGGCATAGTTTCTATGGCTGCTGGTCATAGGTTGTGCCGGGCATGAATGGAGTAGGTACAGGCGGGATACGTTAGTGGCATTTAGGTACAGTGGAGTGATCCCTGGCGTCCATGCGGCACCCTGTCTGCCTGTGGTGATACATGAGCCCGACTGGTTGCGGGCGGGTTAGGTTCTAGACCAACCAGGCCTAGGGGTAACCTACTATAGGACCTAGGTGCCTACAGTTTCCATCCATTAGAGGTATGTACTAAAGTACTGCACCCCAGGCCTGTCTCCAGTCGCCATCTCCCGCCAGCCATATAAACTCTTAAACCATCCGTCACCTTCCGCATTGACGCAACCAGCATCTCATCATTATTCCACGCTTCAACATTAAACCAACCTTTGTCGCAAGCATCATCACAAAAACAATTGATAAACTTCTCTAGACTTCAACGTTTCCGACCTCTATCAACATGAGATTCTTTCCCGTTCTCGCTGCCGCGCTCGCTGTCGCTCCTGGGGTTTTCGCTGTCGAACAGAAGAAGTCTGCCATAGTCTGGTTCGAGGACGAGTCCACACCCGATTCCATCGTCGAAGAGTGTAAAGACGCCCTCAAGAAGGCTGGTGGAAAGATCACGCATGTCTATTCAATCATCAAGTACGCAAACTCATCGATTATTTCCTGCCCTTTCGGCACTTTGGCTAGTTGACACTAACTTATCGGCTAGGGGCTTCTCCGTTATCGCTCCTGAAAAGGCGCTCGAGATCGTGCAGGTCAATCACGAGGAGCATCAAATCCGTGTCGAGAAGGACGAAGTTGTGACGACGGACTAGGAGCTGCACTTGACTTGAGGTGTTGAGCGGACGACAGTTAAAGACGAAACAACAGCATGTCACGCGAAATGAGCTGATTACTTTCCACGGCAGCAGTTGGGATATTGATAACCGTGGTATAGGCGTTAACAGGACAGGAGCGACGGGAATGCTTGAGGACACTCGCTATGCAATCAATCATTATCGTTATTATTGCAGGCCTCTGACAGGGCGAAATGATATTTCAATTTTACCTCACTTTTTGTTGTTCATGAGCTACCGCAGAGTGATGGTAAATGTCAGTTTGAAGTAAAGTGGCAGGCACGGCGTGATACTTCAGCGTCGTTGAAGGACTGATAGTCATGAAGGTAACCCAGAAGTACTAGTATGGATGTTATAATAGGTCGCGATATCTAATGTCCAGTTCAATGTTCAGTGACTATGTAGACTTGTTCGAATAGTTACTGGTAGAGCTGGACAATGATTGTCTGAACAGCCCCTAGTTAGTATTACCGCACCTCACCTGGCCATTCCGAATAGCATCAGCAATGCTGGCAGCCGCAGTATTCCTTGTTTTTACCTCAGTGTCTGGTCATCTTCTTCCACTACGTCGGTTAGTCACCACTCATGTTTTTTGGTATCACTCTACTGCACGTTTGCGACAACCTTTGTCTCGAATGACGCTTCCAAACTCCTTATCTGTGTAGGCCATGAGTTTTCGGGCCACAACGCCACAGTCAAACGTCAATGCCAGCGGTGCCATTCTCTATAGGTAAGTACCTAGGCGGCGGGTATTGGTAGTGTTCTAACGTTAAAGAATAGATATTGTTTGTACGTTCTAAACTGCAGCCCGATCCAGAGAATACTTACTAGGTTAGCAGTATGTTAGTACCTTCTGACTTAGCACTCTCTATCTACTAGTAGTATTAATGTACTTATTTCAGTATTAGTACTGAGTTTACTTTAGCTGATAAGCCATGGGTGTACCTCGTATGAATAACATCCATATCATATTTGCTGGCTTTCCAAAGGGAGATCCGACTACCGGTACCGAAGTAACATGCAACTAAGCTACAAGATACTGATTCTTTGTGATTAATATTAATATTGGTCCAATTACAAATAGACATATCTCTGTTTATACCCACGGGGTTACTATTGGCTGCCTGAGCACGCTATTTCAGCGAATCTCTGGTGGATAGGCGGGTCTACTGTACAAGATGGACAGCAGGACGGGACCTGGGAGGTAGGTACAAACGGGACCCCTGCCGAAGTCGATAAGCCGAGCGATAATACCTTAGCTTGAGCCAACAAGGGCCGCCCAACCTACGTTACCGAATGTTGAAGAACAATGCTTCCTCGGACCTTGAGTTCGCACTGAACACCAACTCGACGATTCAAGAACAATGGAACATCCGTTCTGGAAGTTCTCATAACGATTCCTTATAAATACCCGGTTTCCCTTTCTCGACATGCCGTCGAATCTTTTACCATCGTTCACATTGTATTCAGACACGCGACGCACTCCCTATAACAATTCCACCATCATTGCACCTCCGATCAACAGCAACTTGAACAACCACTCAACCCGATCACAACTTGGTGCAAGGCCTAACACTTTACATAATGCCAGGTTATAGTGCCAACGCGCAGGCTGCGCTTATTAAAGCCGTAAGATGTCTCCCCTTGGAAACGCCTTCACCGTCTTCTAGCTCCCCGCTCACCAAAAGTTTCCCTCAGATCAAGCGAGTGTTCGAGCCGAAACGAATGGTTGAATCCTACGAAGACCTTGTCGATGGTGTCACACTTGGTTTAATTCTACACCAGCTGGATCCTAGTTTTGACACGTCCGCACTCGAAACGAATTCTAACACCTCGCGATACAATAAGCGTAATATCCAGAATGTCTACAAGGGTCTTTTCCGCCATATTCGACGTTCTGTCCCTGAACTTGCTTGCCAGGCCAAGAAGTTCAATTATCATGCCATCGCTGAGAATCCTGATGCTCAGGGCATAAGTCAGGTAAACCTCGGTCCATCCAATTTGAATTGGTCGTTGCTAATTCACCAGATTCTGGCTGTTATGCTAGCTGTGGTTCTTCTAGGTCCCGAAGCCCATCACTATATTCCTCGAATCACCGGTCTCGACAAACAAACGCAAGCAGAGATCATGCAGATCATACAATCCATACAGCAAGACATCAATGACTCGCATGGAGATGAGGATGTTGACGAGGCTGTTGACGCTGTCATGGAAGCACGGGATATCGACCTCATTGTTGAGGAGCAGAATGCACTATTACGCGCAAGACTCGAATCGGCCAATATAAAGCTCTCAGACTACATCACTAGGCTTGACCATCTCCAAACAAGTTATGAAGAACTCCGATCTGATAAGGAGAAAAACGATCGAGAGCTCGAGGTCTTGCGAAAGGCCACTGCAGATGGTGTTAACCATACCGAAATCATCAAAAATCTAGAGATAGAGGTGCAAGATCAGATGGAGATCATCACTCAAAAAGAGGAAGCGATACGTAGTCATGAAAGGGCCAAGTCACAACTCGAGGCAGAGGTTACAAAACTGACAGAGAAGTGTAAAGAGGCAGAAGAGCTTCGTGACCAGGTATCAGAGTGGAAGCACAAAGCCGAAGACTTTGAGAAGAAGGCCAACACTGCAGACCGGTACAAGCAAAAACTCGAAACCCAGCAGCATCTCGTCAAAGAAGTGCAAAACCTTCAATACGAGAAGACCGAACTCCAAGACCAGATCAGAATCTTGTTGGAAGATCAGGACAGAGGCGCTCGTACCAGGAAGGCAGAGGATGAGTTAACCAAAATGATTACTCAGTCCGAACAGCATTTGTGGGACGAACGCAGCCAGAAGAACCAGCTGATGAAGGATATTGCGGCACTTGAGGACGAAGTGATTCGCTTGAGAGCACGACAAAACCATGATGAGAACTTCATCAAAGATCTCCAGGAGCAGCTCGAGAGTGGTGCAGGTTCTCAAAGCGCAGCACCCGGTGCGCTGGATATGGCATCTAGTCTTGAAGATGAACTTAATGACGCAGCTAATGAGGATGCCCAGCCTGGCCAAGTGAACCTTCCTTTGGAACTCTCCCGGCTAAAGGCTGAGAACGACTTGCTGCGTAGCACTGTCGGCTCTGGAGATACCGCTCCTCTCCGCCGGGAGCTTGACGAAGAGAAGCGGCAGCGTGCCCATGTTCAGAAGAACCATAATGATATTTTCGAAAAACACGCCGTTCTACATGATCAGATGGAAGCCCTTATTAACAACATGACCGGTGAAGGGTTAGTCAAAGCCATCAATGATGCTTGTTCACCTGAAGGAACACACATACTTACTGCCGACTTCTACAGGACCAAAGCATTTATTAACATCAAGCAAACACTCATGCAGTGTGAATTCGAGTTAGAACAATCCAGGAAGCGAGAGAAGGATCTTTCTGCTCAAGTAGCTGATCAAGGCCGCGAACTCCTCGCTGCTAAAGCGCAGCTTTCCGCGCTCGACAAAGAAGGCGCCGATGCCCTAAAGGAAATCAAGAGCTGCGATGTGGTTATCATCTCATCTCTCAAATCTGAGCTAGACCACGCTAGGGAGCAGCTCAGTTATTGCATCTCAGAGCGAGACGCACAGCAAACTCAACTTGTCGAAGCACTTCTTACCAAGGATAAATTGCGCAAGGAGGTTGAAGAGGGTAGAGAGCTCCAAGATATCACTGGCGGTGGCGAAGGCGATGCGTCCGACGGTAGCAAGAAGGGCGAGCTGATCGAGAAGCTACGAAACCGTCTCAGAGAAATCCGCGAGGTGAGTGTCTTCTATCGTACAATCATGTTTGGTGATGAGGATGACCAAGTGGTCGTCCTGGTCGATGATAAATTGTCAGTGGGAGACGAAGATGATCGGCAGTTGTTCGCGGATCTCGCTGGCGAGAACACAAACGCAGCCACAGACTCGCCTCTCCACCCCGAAGATATAGTTTTCCCCCCATCTGCTCACCTCCCTCGACGTCCCCTCAAGCGGGGGGAGTCTCCCTGTTCGCCTATGGGAGAATGTTGGCTGACAAGATGGATTTAGCAATTGGAACGATCAGAGACGGACAGGATCGACCTGCAACGTAAATTGAAAGCTGCGCATGACGGCGAGGCAGTGGCAGCACAAAAGGTACGTCCATACTCCTACGTAGATATCAACCACACTTGTTTGAACCATGCTTTGCATCTGGCTGTGACTGAAATCTCTACTGACTATCCGTGACTCAAGGCCGCAAGTGATGAAATTATCCGGAACCTCGAAAGAGAGAACTCTCTCATTGCATCAGCCTGGTATGATCTGACGAGTCGCCTTCAAAGTAACCATGTCGTTTTGCAACGGCGGCACGAAGCTCCGCGGAGCTGGCTTAACAAGCAGAGGCAGATGGTCAATGGTCAGTTGCGCTTCCGCGACTCGCTCTACCTCTACTGACCTTCCCCTGTCAGCGACCCCAAAGCGATAGGTGCTTGCGGGGTGAGAAAACCTCCTCTTGTCCTCTCCAAGACCCATCAAAACATGCATACTGTATGGGACGTAGCCTTCATGACACGCCAGTCTCGTCGACTATCAACCATTCATATTATCGTTCCATCACTGCCTTGTCTCACAGTCGGCGCTCAACATCGCTTTTCGATCTCTTTCTTGATCCGACATTCTTATCTCCGAGGGCCTCGCCTTGGGTATCCAGCGCAGTCCTGATTTCCTCTTTGTTGATTTGTCTTTGAAGCATTGCGAGGGAGCTCTGGGAGTTTCTTGAAACGGGCGTCATTGCTTGGTGGATTCACGGCAGAATCGAGGATTGCTGCATTCATAGAAGATGCATTCTACGACATGACCAGTATAGATATTACATGCATAGGCGTCATTCTCTGGGCATTTCATGTGGTGCGATGGATATATGCTAAGCTGTCGAGATGTTTTCTGGTCACTTATGACTTGTGTGCGCCAAAAATCGCATGGCAGCAACCAATATTATGTTACGGTTGGAACATGCATTTCATTCCTTCTTATTGGTGATGCTATGATCATGGACGAGGAAAGGTAAACGCTTGTAAGCCAACTTTCTGTTGGTTGAAAACTATTGTTAAAGACATTTTGATACATGGCGGATCGTCGTTCAAAGTAGGTAGCTTTTTCCACAAATGGCCACAAGACCGCAGACAAACCCTCTACCCTTTAACGCCTCGGCCTGGAAGACTGGATCACCCGTTCTTCTATCCACCTCCCCAGTTTACAATTCATACCGTTCATATATCCAAGACGAGCTGGCTTCTAAGTTCGCACAGTAATCGTCTTGATGTTAGCCGCGTGAAAAGGCGGCCCATGACTGTCTGGCCGCTCCAGTGACCCTCTAGTTCTGTCCTCGCTTCTCGTTGAGGACCTTAAGCATGTTCTTCCATACTTGACCAGGTTCTTGGCTGGCATCAAGGCCACTCCAGATGCCGGTCTTCTGGTAATATCCCACAACGGGCTTGGTCTGCTTGTGGTAGGTGACAAGTCGCTTCTTGAGAGCATCGGCGTTGTCGTCACTTCGCTGGATAAGGGGCTCGCCAGTAATGTCGTCCTTCATGTACTCCTTGGGAGGGTTGAAGGTGGTGTGGTATGAGCGGCCGGAAGCGGGGTGGACTAATCGGCCAGTGATACGAGCAACGAGTAGAGAGTCGTCGATCTGGAGCTCGACGGCGTGCTGAAGCTTCTGGTTGCGCTCCGCGAGCATGGCGTCGAGACCCTCGGCCTGGGGAACAGTTCGGGGGAAACCGTCGAGAATGAAGCTACCGCGCGAATTATTAGCTTCTGCCGTTTTTGCAGACCACTGGTATGGGGTCGAGATTCCCAACACCAAAATATGAAGCGGTCAAAAATCTCGAGAACATGCGACTCACCCGCCATAGCACTCCTTGTTGTTATTGAGCTCCTCCTTGATCATGCCAATCATGATCTCGTCGCTGACCAGACCGCCCGCATCCATGATCTTCTTGGCCTCGACACCAAGAGGGGTCTTCTTAGCGACCTGGGATCGCAGCATGTCGCCGGTAGCCTGTACAAGGAGAAAATAAATATCAAAAATACTGCTCCCATGTTTTCAATGGATCGCACGAGAATGAACATACCAGGTGGCAACAGGAGAAGCGCTCCTTGATCTTTGGGGCCTGAGTACCCTTACCTGTGAAGCAAAGTCAGTACCAGCACTTTAGTAGCATTGCGACATGGAAAACTACTCACCGGCACCAGGAGGACCGATAAGGATCATTCGGATCTCTTCGGTAGACACAGGACCGCCGGTGGCACGCGCCTCGAGCTTCTTAATGCGCGTGTCAATGGTGCTGATGACATCCTTAAGCTGCTTGAGCTCGTCTTCAATGAAACCCATCTTGGCGGTTGCGGAAGGTGGAATTGAAACTTGGTTTGGCGTGCAATTGGTGAGAACCTTTGGGCAGATTTAAAGATGTAAAGGCTGAGTTGACAACAGACCTTATTATTTGGTGCGAGGCTGAGGGAATGGATTGGAAGGAGGAAGAGAAAAAGAGAGAAACAAACTCAAGACTGGGAAATATTGGGTGCGTAGCCGGAGGACGGGAGGTTTGGAGGAGCAGCTTTCGCGGTCTGTGATTGGTTCAAGGCAGGCTATTTCTACTGGAGCGATGATGATGGGGGGTCCTACCCCTGTTCAACATTGATGAGTGCTAAAACTTGCTGGGGATGGATGCAGGCTACCTATTCCTCCACAGCACCTAGAGTACCTAGGTAGGTACTAAGGTACAGACAGATATCTACTAAGGTTTGCACGGTACCTTAGTAGGTAACTCTGGATGGATGCCTTCTATCAGCCTCCCGTTAGGACAAGTTAGTAATTACTAGTAATTGGGAGATGTTGGTGTAGACAAGTCGAGTTGTTCACCATAGATTACAGGCTGTCTAATCCGGGCTCTGAACAAACTTAGGTTCGGTATAGCTACGGCGCTACCATTTATTACTAGTACCTACCACATAATCCTAACGGACAAATTATAATAACATACCTGCCTTAGTACCTGGAGGTACATAATAGGTAGCTCGATATGGATATAAGCAGTTTTATCCTGCGAGTGATGAGCAGCATCTATCAGTATATTCGAGTTCATCAAGAGAAAGACTTACCGCTAAGTATTGCTCTTGACGGATTTGCTGTCATCTTGAAATTTATCTAATGTCTTTCGTCCATCTGCAGTATGCTTATCAACAACTGACCCAGGGTAGCATCAAACTCAACGACTGTTGCACCCGGGACATAAGGTATGCTGTTGCCTCATCTGATATCAAGACGACGAGACATTATAGCCGTGATCGACCGAAGCCATCCGCGGTATGTCGTCCAAATAGAGCATATTCGGCCAGCAGGGCCGAGGTTCAGGTGGTACGTTATTGAGCCAACCCGGCGTCCTTTGATCCGAAATATCACCGCCGATTTCAGTCCATTCAACTTGGTTGACACTGGATCCATGGATGTCAACACATCACTTTTTCTAGCCCGCTCGTAATTCGGTCTGCGCAAACAGTTAGATAGTACGTTGCTCACGACCGTGCCTGATGTCTGTTTGACCTAAACACCAGGGAGGCAATTTTCTTCCATGCCCACACTTGTCGTCGATAGTCTTGGAAGCTTGCGCCCACGTGTCTATAAACTAAGGTGTGGAAATAGCCGGCATCAACTAAGGATGACTACTGAAGTCTACCTACCTACCTAGGTAGTCAAGGTTACTATTAAAACATCCAGAACCTTAGTCAAGACCAACATAAGGTGAGGTCAGTATCAAATTCCTCTCCCTACCTTCAGATCCCCTTTCCCTGTTCTTTTCGCTGAAAGACGCTATATACGTGGGGTACGTAGTAGATCTTTATCATTTGATGTACTTGATCAGCTGTCGCTGGACTCGGGTACTTTTTGACGAATACGTTGGTTTCGATCCGTCCGCATTAATGTCTTCTGGTCTGTACCATGTCCCAAGTGGACGTCAGTTTCATTATTGTATACTCGCTTAGGTACTTACCCGACAGACAATCAACTACCAGGTACTATGTGAGGTATGAATTTTTTACTCAGCAGACCTGTTATACCTGAAATTGTCAGCAACTCAAAACCTCCAGCGAGTACAGGCAGACATACACAGCGCTCCCATAGAGGCCACATGTTGAATCAATAAGGTGAGTACCTGGGTAGTTCTGATTGCAATTTCGAAAGCCTCATCTTATAATCTCAGGAGTTCAATGATATTAGCATTTAGTATAGACTTCCCCATTGATACTAAGATACCTTTGATTGGGGAGGAAAAAGGAGACTGTGCTGCCTCTTTTCTTACCTACCTACCTACGTCATCGAACCTTGAATACCTCTAGAGTACGGAGTACAGAGAGGTACCTATCTGCTATGTTGCTCCAGCCTTCATCTCATTCATGCCTGGAAACCTGTGATGTGGCGCCGGCTCCAACTGTGGCTGTATGCACGTGATGTGGCGTCATGAGGCAGGAGCTTGGAGTCTCCAAGGTGCCTGGCCCAATTGGGAGCTAAGCTTCTGTGCAAGAAGGCAGCCTCCAGACTACGTACGTGCGGCCACAATAACCACTGCATCAACATAACGACCCTGTTCTCAACCTGACCGCGACTGCACGACCAAGATCGCGCATTGATTTCCCTTCCATTCATACAATATTCGTTGTACCAGATACCCATCGACGAAGCAACGATGCCTACCACAACAGCGGAAACTCTCTCTCTCGTCACTCGAAACGTCACTGTTGCGCCCCTCGTCCTTCTCTCCGCCGTCGACCACTACAACCGAACTGTTTCCACAAAGACAAAGCGACGAGTAGTGGGTGTTCTCTTGGGACAAAACGATGGAAACGATGTGAGAGTGTCCAACAGCTTTGCTGGTGCGTTACTCTAATGACACGACGCTACAAGTTGAACATCGCTTACCATGATTATTGTAGTTCCCTTTGAGGAGGATGACAAGGACCCTTCAGTATGGTTCCTTGACCACAACTATGTCGAGTCAATGAACGACATGTTTAAAAAGGTCAATGCCCGAGAGAAGCTCATAGGATGGTATCACACTGGTCCCAAGCTTCGCGCATCCGATTTGGAGATCAACGAACTCTTCAAGCGCTATACACCTAACCCTCTCCTCGTCATTGTTGATGTCCAGCCCAAGGAGTCTGGAGTACCCACAGACGCATACTTTGCCATTGATGAGATCAAGGATGTACGTTGACAGCCCATACCAGCCTCTGTTGCCGAGCGAACCACTGACACTTGCCAGGACGGCACGACCACCGCACGAACATTTGTCCATACTCCTTCTGTGATCGAAGCCGAGGAGGCAGAAGAAATTGGTGTCGAGCATCTGCTAAGAGATATTCGCGATGTGGCCGCCGGAACACTATCTACACGAGTCACAAATCAGCTGCAATCACTGCAGGGTCTACACCTGCGTCTGCGAGATATCGGCGCATACCTCCAGAAGGTTCTCGACAAACAACTCCCCGTCAACCATGCGATTCTTGGAAACCTTCAGGATGTTTTCAACCTTTTGCCTAACCTCTCCACACCCGAGAGAGATGGCAAGTCAGGTGGAGGCGAGTTGGCATATGCCATGAGCGTCAAGACCAACGACCAGCTTATGGCTATTTACCTGAGCAGTCTGATCCGTGCCATCACAGCATTCCATGATCTTATCGAGAACAAGATCCAAAACAGGCAACAGCAGGAGGAGAAAGAGGCCAAGAAAGAGGAGATCAGTAAGGACGAGAAGAAGGAGGGTGCAAACGGAGCGAGCGCTGATTCCAAAGCAGGCGGCGACAAAGACAAGGAGACCAAGGAGACCAAGGAGACCAAGGAGACCAAGGAGACCAAGGAGACCAAGAAATAAATGAAGAAGAGAGACCTAGCAGATGAACTAGACTTGAACTGAGGCTCTTTGGCGTCTGGTAGAGGGACACTGAGACGATATCCTAGCCGCAAGTTAAGGGAAAGGCGTCTTTGTACAATGATTATATCAGTGGACTTTTAGAGGATGGAAACAGGATAATACGCATCACAAATCGTCCCAAGCAGGCGATCATTTCGGTGATGCTAACAAGACCCATTTTCATATGTCCGCAACAATACCTGCCAGATCTTCTCGTGAGATAACTCGATCCTCAACATACATGCCAATCATCTCTGACCACCTATCTGCAAGTAAACAGGCGAGTAAGTGTTTACAGCAGGACGGTGCATCCCCCCCCCAATCCAGACTCATGCCTCCACAGGGCGACACCTCACGTAGAGGGGGCAATTGCTCTGCTTGACCTGTTGCTGCTGCACGGTGACCAGTAAATGCATCCAACGTGAAGCTCGCACACGAACAGTTCCATGCATCGAGGTGAACGACGTATCGTTTAGACGAGAGGCTATAGTCGCGAGTGCGGCGTGAGAGGGTCGTACCGAGGGAACGAACGAGAAACACATCGTTCACTGTACCCGAGGAGCTGTCATTTTGAAGTTCCTGGTTGCGCACCAGTCTGGTGACGAGTTTTCGGTCGAGAAGGTCCAGAGCTGGAAGCACAAGATTTGGAAATAATACATGGAGAGTCAGGAGTAGAGGTCGTTGAGAGGGCGAGAAGGCTTGAAATGGTGACAATGTGGATGGTTGACCAGCTCGAGATGGCTGCTTAGATGAAGTATCATCTGCAGTTGATGGTGCGATGGTGGAAATGGAACAAATGAGAGATGTTATTATCTGACAATGGGAAGGGAGAGACTCCATTGTCGTCAAATCGAGGGCGATTTTACATGGCTTGATGGTTGTAGAGATAGAAGCTACAGCGTACCTAAGCAGTCTCCACGCCGATGTTGGCATCCATGTTATCTAGAAACCATGTATGACCTTTATAAAGTTTTCATTTCTAAAAAAATGAAAAAATAAAAGAAAGGAATAAGATTGCCTTCCTTTCGATTCTTGCGTATTTAAAATCTCCGCGAAAGATATTCATGGCTTCTATGTATTATTGTGAATTTTTGTAGTGCCTATAGTCATGTCTATTGTCCCCATTTGTAGCCTGCACCGCCCCGGGTGTCCCCATCTATGATTCTCACATATGATACACTAAATAATCGCTCTGCCTCACACTACCGCATGGCTCTATTTCCTCGGTTAAGTCCAAGGCTTAGAATGGATATTTTAAACCCACTCCTTGGGGTCTCTGAGGACATCTACCAGGCGCTGCTCCCTGCTCTTAGGCTCAGGTTCATGCATATACTTCCAGCCAGCTGTCAACGGCAAACTCATGAGAATGCTTTCGACTCTTGAGCCGGGTGTGTTAAGACCAAATGCTGTGCCGCGATCGTGCACAAGGTTGAACTCGACGTACTTGCCACGACGCAGTTGCTGCCAGTCTTTCTCTGCCTCAGTGTAGGGCATGTCCTTTCGCTTTTCGATAATGGGGATGTAGGATGGGAGGAATGCCTTCAGACAATCTTGGACAAACGAGAATGTGTTCTCGCGATCGCGCTCCGTTTCGTCAAGGTCATCGAAGAAGATGCCGCCAATACCACGGGCCTCGCCCCGGTGCTTGTTATAAAAGTACTCGTCACACCACTTCTTGAATCGTGGGTAGTATTCCTTATCGTGAGCATCGCAAGCGGCCTTGATCGTCTTGTGAAAGTGTATCGCGTCTTCATCGAAGAGGTATGAAGGTGTTAAATCACAACCACCGCCAAACCACCAAGCCTGAGACGTGCCGTCGGGGTTAGCCGTTTCGAAGTATCTGTAGTTAAGGTGCACCGTTGGGGCCATAGGGTTGTAAGGGTGAAGAACCATGCTGAGGCCTGCAGCAAAGAAGTCGATTGATTCCATGTTAGGGTCCATGGTCTTATGGTTGGCTCGCATCTTCTCAATGGCAGGCTTAGGAAGCGAGCCGTAGACGACGCTCACACCGAGACCAGCCTTTTCGAAGACGTTTCCTTCTTGGAGAACGCAGGTGGTGCCGCCTCCTCCGTTGGGACGCTCCCATTCATCCTTGCGAAACTTTTTGCCGTCAACTCTCTCGAGTTCGGCAACGATCTGGGCTTGTTGCTCCCGAATAAACTTTTCCATGCGTAGTCGCATAGGTGAATCCTCAGTGACGCCCGACTCGCGCTTCTTCTGGGCATCGCGGTCGGCAAGGGTGGAAGGATCGGCGTTGATGGGTTCGATTTCAGCCTGTAATTATTGTGTTCAGTTATGTTTAACTCTCTCACTGACTGGGAGGTGCTTTGTACCATCTTGTAGGCTAAGGGGGCAGCTGCGCCAAGGGCAACAGCAGTGAGCCACAGCGTAGAAGAGCCGGAGTAAGTTGATCGAGAAGCTTTGGGGCCGGCAGAACTAGACAGCCAGCGTCTCGGAGAAGCGAATTGAGTTCTTAAAAAGCGTGCGGAGGGAGAAGCAAGTTGCGCAGCAAAGCGCTGGGCAGGCCGTCTGGCAGCCATGACGATATTATATATTCAACCCGAGGACCCGGGAAAGGGTGGCGGCAAGACAAGGCCCAAGGCCGAGAACGAGAACGAGAATGAGAATGAGAAGGACAGAGGAGAAGAGGCGACGATCAGGCGTTTCGGATGAGGCCACTTGAAGGATGAGGCCAGGGTCCGTCCGACAGAAGGAAGGATTGGAACAACTGAGAACTCGGATGATAGTCAAAATCGAATGTTCGGCAATTGGCTTCTTTTGGTGGAGGTCTTTGCTACTGCTGTACTAATAGCCCGGTAAGGTACCTACTAGACTACTAGCAGTAGGTATCCGTGCTCCTTGTCTACAGTAGGTACCTACTGTATCTCCATACCTACTAACATAGGTATGTGGAGCGGAGCAGAACAACTTACGGCCGGTGCCGAGGGGAGTCAAAATCGACGCACCATTCGGCCATACTAATAAACAAACCATCGTAGCTCCGTTCTACAGATCACGAACCGTCGAGGTATTTTCAGGGCTCTTGTGCTCTAGATAGAAAGGGAGGTGATCCGGAGACTGTGGTGTTTGTGAGAGCACGAACCTTCTATTCTGGCGAGTCTAGTACTGAGTACATCTATCTATGCAGTTGCTAACGTTGGCTGAAAGACTTTCACTTCTTTACCAGCTTCAGCTTTATCATGCTTAAAGTGATAGCTTAAACAGAGCTGATAATCAGATATCTCAAGTAGTGTCGATGACTTTGACCACGGGAAAGCAAGGGGCTTCCCTTTCCTGACTAGAACGTCGAAATATATTGGGCTTCTGATTATCCTCAGACTTATAGCATTCGTACTTTGAGTATTATAAGTGATCGAAACATATTCCAATGTTTGTTGGATTGTACCTACTGAGCTACTGAAGCTGATATCTATACCTAGGCACCTAGATACTAAGGTAGATATTAGATTTGCAAGGCTTCGCGCAGTCGCTAAAACAACCGATCAACTGATGTTGGAATTCGGGTAGTAATGTTTTGGAATTACAGACAAGCCCCAGCCAAAGTCCATCTAAGTACTAGGTAAGTACTGTACTACGAAATGCTTTTGATCCGCATCATGAAATAACAGATGGACACTTACAATAACAGAGAACCCTAGCAGATGCAAGTCGCTGGACGTAGGAGAATACGGTAGGTACCTTTTAGATTAGGTACTGACTTTGGCTGCATTCTACCTATAAGAGCCTGGGCTGGCAATGATACCTAGGTACCTAGGTACTTGGTAGTAGGTAAGTTGAAACCACTTATTTGAGTACTAGGAAGCCTAACGTTGTTAATTAGGCCCGTCGGATCCTGACAGTCTATTATCTTTATTGATATTGATATGGAAGTCAGTCACTCGTCGATAACGGAACTCAAGATTTCCAGTCCTTCCTTCCAAACTTTCCGTCCCTGTGACAATACAGTGCGACGTGACATGCTGCTTCCCCGCCATTGTTGCCTCGCGGGGCCTCTTGTGATTCACCGAACATAACGAAGCTAAGCCATTTACAGTTTAGCCGTGTAGCCCCGCGCGCATGTCCAGTCAGTGTGAGTGAGGTTGGGTGCTCGAGGTGTCCTGCTGCCACTTGGCTGCGCTGCCGCCTGGGTACTGATGTGCTGTAGGTGCCTACCTAGTACCTATCTCACCTATAGGACTTAGACTGCCCCTCCACTGCTGCCTCCCATGGAAGTCAACTCTGGGCTGGCCGACCGCTCATCTGTACCTTAGTCTAGTACCGTGTCTGTGTCACTGCCACCTTCTGTCACTCTACGCATTTCCTCACCTCACCTCACCTACTTCTTCTGCCTGACGCAAGCAAACCGTAACCTAATTCTTTTTTCTTATCTCCATCCCGCGGCCGTCACTCCCTCTTCCTTTCCTTTTCCTCATTCAAAACCCTTTGGCTTTCCCGCTACCTCAACATAACCGTCATCGCGACTTTCGGATTCCACTCTTGATATAACACTTACCGCCTCTACTCATCAACAACCACCACCGTCAATATGCGCAGCAAGTTCAAGGACGAGCACCCCTTCGAGAAGCGTAAGGCTGAGGCCGAGCGCATTCGACAGAAGTACGCTGACCGTATTCCGGTATGTATTTTCGCAATCGATATTTCCCCTTCTTTTCGACCTTAACCTCTATTTCCATCCAACAGCGAAACTGGGGGCGCTTGTCCTTGCCCAGTGAACGCCTTCAACCTCCATCTCTCTCGCTCAACAACATGCTGACATGCTTCGTATAGGTCATCTGCGAAAAGGTTGAGAAGAGCGACATTGCCACCATCGACAAGAAGAAGTATCTGGTCCCTGCCGATTTGACCGTTGGCCAGTTTGTCTACGTCATCCGCAAGCGAATCAAGCTGTCTCCCGAGAAGGCCATCTTCATCTTCGTCGACGAAGTTCTTCCTCCGACAGCTGCCTTGATGAGCAGCATCTACGAAGAGCACAAGGACGAGGACGGGTATGGTTTCCGATCAACATGAAAGAAAGACGAGTCACTAACATGGGCACCTGTAGCTTCCTCTATATCACCTACTCCGGCGAGAACACCTTCGGCGACGCGTAAGGACAATGATGTGGGATGGGATTTCTTTTCCGAGCCGGGAAATGAAGGCGTTATGGTCGTGTTTTGGGTCACTATTTCGATGATCACTGGTTATGTTCTTCTCAACTTTCAGAGTCCAGAGACTGGGCTCCGACAGAGTGCTTATTGTTCTTCATGGTAACAATATATGTTTGGCGCTGTCAGCCTGACAACGGCCTCAAGTTGTAACGTCCACCACAGGCTTCTAAATTGCCTAATCTATTCGGCAATATACTCAGTGATTCCTGTTGTCAACTTCTCTGCCGCTAGTAGATACCTGCACAGATACGAGCTGCACAAGCACGCAGTCTAAGAACCTCACAAGTACGGCGGTCATGGGCAAGTCAAAATTTTCGCGACCAGTGATAGGCATATAGGCTATCAGAGCCATCAGCTAATCATCTCAGATGTATCAGTAGGGCTAACACGACATAGACGTGACCAGTTTTGTTAGACTGTAATGTATCAAAGATCTCAACTGTCTACGTGACAGGGTTGCCACAAATAAGTGACCATGTTCCAGAAATGAAACTAAGAGAAACCCCCCAGAAAATCCATCTGGACACATACCTAGGTAAGTAGGTATGTAGGTAAGGCAACTCTCAAAGCTCTCAAAACGCAGGTCTTGATGCCACTACTCATACTTTACGCGATTCCTTTGTTGAAAACCATGACGGCGTAACGGAACGACCCAGTGGCGTATCCCCGTCTCATTGCGCGAAAAGATTGTAAGAAGGCAATGCCGTCACGACCTTGGGTAAATGCAAATGCCCAAAGAGATGGGTTTTGTACGAGTGACCATGTGATATCCCTAGAAGATAGAAACATAAGGCCGACGCTCGGGGGTAAAGTAGCGATCTTACGTACCACGTCTTTCGAACTTGTTGGCTGATGTCTTTTGGGTCGGCGAACATGGCAAGTCCAGCTTGTCCAGCCAAATCAAGATAGCCTTGCTGGGTACAGAGAGGTGGGAGGAGCATACCATCTGCGTTTCATCTAAGCTCAAGAATACGAGTGTCTTGCGTAGAACTTTACCTTCAATGGGTTTGATATCGTTGGTGAATGTTGTGTCGTCCAGATTTTCGGCCTTGAACCAGTCCGCCAAAACCAGCTTGCCTCCAGGCTTGAGGACTTTCATCACGTTCTTGAAAAACAAGGCCTTGTTTGGGAAGTGACTGAGTGCTTCACTTATCCAGACTGCGTCGAACGAACCTTGTTGGTCATCGAAGAAGTCGCCCATTTTTTCGGCATCAAGTTCGAGGAATTTGACTTGTCCATCGCCGAGTTTAATAAAGCCATCATCATCTGATGCAGTAGGCGTGGAAGCTTCATTCTCGAGAGCCGCCTTGGTCAAGCGGTTCGCCATTTCAACTTGCTTTGTGGAGATGGTAATCCCAGTCACAGAGCTACCATACTTGGATGCAAGATGGCGCGAAGTCCCGCCGATACCGCATCCTACGTCAAGGACTGAGCTCCCGGGAGGAAGCTTGGAGATATCTAGAAGCAGCTGGATGAGGTTCGCCTGAGCTTCCTCCTTTGTTTGTGTAGCTTCAGATTCCTGCGTTGGCCAGTACCCGTGGTGAATGTGCTCGCCCCTAGTAAGGTAAGCAGATCAGCAGGATGGTTCGATATAGTCGGAAGAGCACCAAGCTTGACACTCAGGCACGCACCACAAACTTAGATAATAGTCGCTAGCAAGGTCGTAATGGAGTTTGATCCTGTCCTTGAGGACCTGCATGGTTGAGTGAGTAAGGCCTAGTGGAGTGTCATACTGCTTGCTCAAGTCGGTCGCTTGCTCTGCCATGACAGCAGACATGTTGAACAGGTATCTGGATGGTAGACGGGGAAGATTGAGTGGGATCTATCAACAAAGTAATGCGATAGTGTTGGAGGTGAACGTATCAGCAACAGCTTTCACGGGTTGACAACGAGGAGGGAACTGCTCATTACCCCGCGGTAACTGCAGGGTGACACAATAGTTACCTACCTATCTACTAACTACTAACTAAACGGTATCTCTTATAAGGGACTTGTTGAGATCCATGATGGATAGTGCCATGCGGCAAGATGAGTGCGATTGTAAGCAAGAAACTTCCTGTGACATTCTTGGGTGTGCTTTTCTTTCTTTCCAAGGTCCCATCATGGATCTGGATGGTTGGGCTCCGTCTTCAGTGGATATAGTTTCACTACGCGCCATAATAGCTGCCAGCGGCTGTAACCGCAGCCAATCATTTTACACAAGCAGGACCATGGATGGATGGCGCTTCGCAAAATTACAGTACAGTACAGTACAGTACAAGCTTAGGTGATTTCTCTGTTATTGATTGAGACAAGTCTTTGAATGGGATGTTTGTCCTGGTCTTGCTGTCTTGCTGTCTTGCTACGTACCTAGTATCTAGGTGGTTGTCTTGTTGCACTTCTGCTTCTCCATATCTAGGTATGACATCATGGGTATTTCACAGTCGGGTCTGCCTCTTTTACTTCTTATGGCCCAGGATTGATCAGTCACGTTACTTTACTTCCCGTCAAGGTACCTCAGTAAGGTACTGCACCCTCCCTCTCACCGCTGACCAAGTTTCAGAATATGCATGGCGATGATCAGAAACATGTTCAGCCTTCTCGTGACCCCGAGACCTTTGGTCCAGTCTTTCTAGAAAATCCTGTTTCAATCACAACTCATCAGTGGCAACTTCTCTGGACGAGACCAGCGGTTAACAACCACGCAAATCCCTGTCGTCAAGGGTCCTGAACCAAGACCCTTTGACCATTTTCGGGAAGCTATTCACTAGGGTCCAGGGGTTGTCTTACTGAAAAGATGCTGGACCGACATTTGATTGGTTGTCAGCCCTGGCTTTTACAGTCAACTATTTCGAAATGTTCACCACCAACCTGCTATCAAGACGATCATAGCCGTTCAGAACCATCCTCGCAAGATCCTGCTTTTACTGAGCTGTACTGTACCCATCGACCTGCATGATGGGTCTCTACGGCACAGTTGAATCGACCAAGAACTTTGCCTCTGTGCCCATGCAACCAAGCCAGGGCTTCACGAGAACTACCCAAGTAATTTGCAATGGCGTCACCCGCTCAGACAATCAAGATGAGCTGCCTTCCTGTCGAATATAATCCCATACTTGTCGCCTCCGATTTAAGGTGAATTTTGGAACGCTGGGCACCACTCATCTTTGTCGCTCCATGGTGTTCCCCTTGTATTCTGTGTGAGTCACTTATATATATCTCTGCATCAACTTGCATTCGCATGCACGTACCCCATTCATTTGGCGGTTGCCGTCCGTTGATGCTGTGATATATAGAACTTGCTCTCTGTGCAAGCCTCCTCGTCTCTAATCTAGACTGTTTGGTCTGGAGCGACTGTGACTCTGGCATATCAAGCAACCTACCCAGACTTGATGCGGCTGGGCCACTCAAGCGAGAAGCCAAACGACATCGCGCCGACAACCCAACGCAAACGAAGACGCAGCCTAGCTACCAAGTACAAACCCAAGTTAGTATGGGCCTTTTGCTTGGTCTAGTTTCGGGATTTCTTGTTCAAGCCTCTCCTTGCGTCGTGACTGGCCACCGGTGTAAGCGGGCGCTTAACTCAACCTCAGCACTTCGTACTCTAAGCGCTGCCGCCAGAATCGTCAAGGAATTCAGAAGCTGTTCCTAATTAAGTGGCTGTTGACTGGGAATTGCCATCTATTGGATATTATTACTGTGGATTGAGCCAGGTAGGTATTTTCTTATTGTCGTTGTGCCCCTCCCTATTGTTGATAATTGTTCAATTACTTCTTTTTCCCTTTCACTTATACACAATCACATCTATACCCCGAACAATCAGCATGCAATCATAGACAATAGACTCGGAATATTTTGCTCACGGCCGTCATTTCCTTTGTTGTGTTTCCTTCCATCTATTGACTTTGGGTTCTTTTTATAATTATTCTTTGTCCTTCTATCGCTTTAATTATCGTCACTACCATCATCAACACCACCACCGCACCTCTTCTGGGATTTCTCTCTTTCGCTACATCTCATTACATCTTCCCATTCTACTCATACAGACTTGATCGTTCAAATAAACCAACACGCTCAGATACAAAATGTTTTCGCGGAAAACAAACGACGACCCGCCGGTCTATCCGGCTGTACCCAGCTCCCTTCGGTCAGAATCGTTCGAGATGACCGAGATGCGAAAAGTTCAAGAAGCTCGAGCTGATACGGCCCCAACTATTACTCCTTACCTCAGCCTGCGATCAAGACTTTCTCAACTGTGGATAAATCGCTGGACAATCCTTCTTATCCTGGTCCTCATCCGAGTCATGATTCTAATCGTTGACCTCAAAGAGAACGTCGGCAATGCTAAAATCAAGGCGCTCTCGGCCTGCACCAAAGTCGAGGATGTTGGAAGTGCTATGGCTTCCATGCCTCACTATCTATCGAGGGGCGTCAACGAGCTTGCAGCCTCTGGCATCGAAAAGTCAGTAGAAGCCATGGTGTATTTGCTTGATCTCGTCCTTGTGGGCGTCAAGAACATCATCATCTTCTACATCAACTTCCTTACTGCTACATACGTGTGCTTGATTACCGCCATGGTTCACGGCAGTCTCAGTGTTGTTGCTGATGTCACGGAGGACGCAACCAGAAAGTTCAACGGTTTGATCGACAAGGCTACCAGCAAAATTGAGGACATCTCCAAAGATCTTGAAGATGGCATCAACGACATAACCGGCGGCATTGAGGATTCGGTTATTGGGCGTCTGGTTCCCGATATCCCGAAAGTCGACTTCTCCAGCCCTATCGCAGAACTCAAGGATTTCGATATCAAATCCGAAGATTTTGTCAAGGACGTTCGAAAGTTGGAGGATGATCTGCCTGACTTCCGAGAAGTCCAAAATCTAACCGAGCAAGCTATTTCTATCCCCTTCGACTTTGTCCGCAAAGCCCTCAATGAAACTTATGGCAACTACAAGTTCAACCGAGATGCATTCCCTCTTGCTCAGAAGCAACAGCTAAGCTTCTGTTCCGAGAATGACGCCCTAAACAACTTTTTTAACAATCTGTTTGAGCTTATCGCCAAAGCCCGAACCATCTTCATCGCGGTCTTGCTCATTCTAGCTTTGGTGGCCCTTATCCCCATGGCCTGGTTTGAGATCAGACGCTGGCGGCGACAGCAACAGCATGCGCGTCTCGTTGCTCAGAACGCATATGATCCAATGGATATTGTCTACATTGCATCTCGGCCCACTACGGCGACTTTTGGCATCAAAATTGCCTCCCGCTTCAAGGGCAAGCGCCAAATCCTTGTGCGCTGGCTCATCGCTTATGCCACCTCCGTCCCGGCCCTGTTCATTCTCTCACTCGCTATTGCCGGCTTCTTCTCTTGCTTTTGCCAGTGGATCCTTCTGCGAGCGATCAAGAACGAAGTGCCCGCCCTAGCAAACCAGGTTGGCGCATTTGCCGACGACGTTGTAGGGAATCTTGAGAGTGTCTCAGCCGGCTGGGCAAATGATGCCAACGGTGTCATTGCAGGCTTCAGTGACGACATCAACAACGATGTTCTTGGCTATGTAACCAACGCCACAGATGCTGTAAACAATACTCTTAACACCTTTCTCGAGACTATGGATGATGGCCTCAACACTGTCTTCAAGGGTACCATTCTTCTCGACCCTATCAAAACTGTCCTCCATTGTGTCGTCGGTATCAAGATTGAGAGCGTACAGAAAGGACTGACTTGGGTGCACGAGCATGCCGAGGTCAAATTCCCGCTCTTCGAAAACGACACTTTCAGCAAAGGTGCCAAGGACTCTGTCGAGGGTGACTCAGAGCTCAACTCCTTCCTGGCATCCCCGTCGAGTGCCACTACCGACGAAGTTACGGGAGCTGTCAAGGCGGTTACAGATTGGCTTCATAACAAACTGATTCAAGACGCGCTCATCTCTACTGGTATCTTTCTCGTATACGTGCTTGTCGTCCTCATCGGTACAGTGTGGGCACTGGTTGGCATGGTCTCTCCTGACAAAGGCCGTGCCGAAGGCGGCATGCGCTTCACCGGCGACAAACGACCAGGCTTCAGTCCTCGCCTTGGACATCATAATCCCGCAAACCCCGACGGCGCTGCAAGCTTTCCTCGATTTGGGTCATCCTCAGATGAAGATAACCACTATCGAGAAACTCCCAGCGGACGCGACGAGAAGTTCATGTCGGGCGCAACCGGGGCCCGCGCTACACAGGTGGACGGCCACCAAAGAAGCAGTTCCTATGGTTATTTGGATACGGCAAACAGCAAGTATTAGGAGTGCTGGAGCCCAATAGCCAGTTGAAGGAGAGTATCCCTTGCAGTTTTCTATATTACTCCGGTCCTGGCTGGACCCGTACCGAGAGAGACGATCCTTACTCGACTGCATGAAGCGATGATTTATAGAAGGCGTTGAAATTATCTTGAGGAAAGAAGAAAAAAAAAAAAA